TAAGCCAAAACTCCTGATGCAGTATCAATATCAGTAATTACCCATCCATCAATCAATTATTCAAGCTTTCCCTCACCCAATATTCGTATATTCGTATATATATTGTATATTTCCATTTCCATTTCCATTTCAACCGCAACAACTCCACTCAGCTCACATTTTCGACTGCTTTAACTCTGCACGCAATATGCAAAATGCAAATTGAATTTTAAAGCCGCGTTTATTGAAACGCTGGCTCATTTAAATTTTAAAGTTAAGCATTTGTATTATGCGTTAAACCGATTGCCAGCCGCTTATCGCACGCCGCGCAACAATCATTATTATTATTATGAGCAATTAAATTCAATTCGGAAATTGACAATGTTTTTAAAGCGCATTAACCCACATATGAACCGAGAGAGAGAGAGAGAGAGAGTGGGAAAGAGCAGGGTAGAGGCTGAGCGAGAGGCAGTGCGACAATTTGTTTATCTGAACAATCGTTAGTTATGGCTTGGATTATTCGCAATTGATTTTATTTGTATGGCATGCATTCATAATCATTTTGCTGCCGCAATTTGTGGCAAGCTCTTTAATTTTTTAACAATGGCCGCAATCATTAGAGTTTGTGTCGAGCTGTTGGCAGGATGCAGCATGCCGCAATATGAGCGACAGCCTCTGCATATCAGCTTATCCGTCTGCACATCAATAAGTCAAGCAGTCAGTCAGTCAGTCAGTCACTGTCCTTTGCCATGCGCTGCTGCAGCGCTTCATTATGCGCATTTCCTGTTGACTTCATTCCACTCCCCCTACCCCTTCCTTCCTTCCTTTCTTGCACCTGCTGCAGCTGGCACAGGTCGGCCGACACATGCCTCGCATTCTCTGGCCCTGCATTCTTGTGGGCGGCGAGCTCGGCGAGTTCACATGCCAGAACAATGCCGCACTATAGAATAATAATAGTGAGTGTTTTGGCTTCCCGATGGGCGTCAGCGCCAGTGCCTCCATTGACCCCCCACACACACACCCACACACACACACACATTGGTATGTCAAAAGTTTTTGACATGCTCATGTACTTGACCTGCCGCCCAGGCTGAAGCCCCCTAATGGTTGGCATTGTTGTTGCTGGATTGCTGCTATGGCTGGTACTGTGCCCCGCCCCGCCACGCCTCATTTCGCTTGGGGCGGCTATTAAACCGTGTTCTAATTTTGACACCTTTATAATTAAAACTTCAGACTGTTTACACGTACCACGTGTTAAATCGAGCCAAGGGGCAGCAGTTGCAATTTGCATTTGAATAATGAGATATCGGACAGGAATACTCGAGTATTATACGGATTGAGGCATACTTAATAATACTTCTATAACTTCTGTTAGTGCTTGCATTGCTGCTAATTCTTATACCAAGTTTTACACAACTTTTACTACTAATTACATTGTAATTATTAGTATTTTAATTAATGATAATAATAATACCACAACACTGTAAAATTGCAAATTATTCGTCATGAATATTTTCCTTCCGGCATTATTTCCCATTATTCAATTGATAAACAGCATAAATTCCATCGAACTGCCCAAAGCCTGCATTTTAATGCGCACTAAAATACAACTTTTCCATGTTCGTAATATAAACTATCTAGCTCTATAATTATGGCTAATGGCGAGAGGAAGCAGAAGTAAACAGAGCCAAACTCCCATCTAATGCAGTGTGTTCAAGTGATTAACCCAATTGAGGCATAAACAAAATAACAGCAGCAGCAGCAGGAGTAGCAGGAGCAGCAGGGGCAGCAGGGGCAGCAGCAGTCAGTAGGCTTTTGGCCATTCGGGCATTTGGGCATTGTTTATAAAGTTGGCGCAATGAATGAAACGAAGCGAAGTAAATTAATTGCGGCCGCCAGCGACAGTTGCAGCGGGGCAGCGCTGCCCGGCAGGTGGTCAAAGCAGGGGGCGGTGGCTACGGGCGGCTATGATGGGCCGCCCAGGCAGGCGCCACTCTCTCGCATATTGTTTTCGTTTTTTCTGTTGCCCAAAGCCAAAACAACAAATGAAAATAGAACTTTAATTAAACGCAGTGCCTAGCGCAGGGGAAATGGTCGAATAGAGCATATTGCTGCACCACCCGCACCACCAGCCAGCCCAGATATGCTCATATGCAAAACAGCGGGTTGTCTGCAACTATTTAAAGACGCTCCCCTCTCTCTCACTCTCTCGCTCTCTCTCGCTCTCGCTCTGCTGTTGCCCTCATTCTACAAACAAATAGTATAGAGATAGACTGAAAGGGAAAGCGGGATGCAGAGAGCGGGTAGGGGCGGTTGCTTTAAGCCAGGACGAGCTGAGAATATGACAGTTGATAGCCCAGAGGCTGCCTTGGATCTAAGGTTCTTGTTTGCTGTATGTAGTTGTTCTTGTCGTGGCTTACATACGAGCGCTGCCTGCATTTAATAGTCTCAACACACACACGCACACACTCACACACATGCAGGTTTCATAAGCTAATGATAACAGAAATAAAAATAACAATGAAAGCTCTGCACAAAGCAAGAACTTGAAGCTTCACAGAAATAGCTGCCTCTCATATATTTATTATTTTATATAACTTTAAGATTATGCCAGGAATTAATCGAATTTGGCAGCCAGCTGGAGTGGAAGAGGAGAGGGGGGGGGAGTAGCAGCAGGACTCTATGCTTGTAATTTAATTAGTGCAGACAGCACGGCTCTAACGACGAAGGACAGCCGCATCTGAGCGTCTGACGGAGTCTATTAGAAGAAAAAAATAAATATAATTAATGAATTCATCAGCTGAGTGCAGTCGAGTGGGCGGGTGGTCTGACGGCCCAGTTATCTAGCTGCCAGAGGTCCATAAAGTTGGCCAAAACTAACTCGGGCACTTTAACTGATATTAAGCCATGCACGAATCGCTCAAGTGGGCGTGGCGAAGCAGTGCAAGTGCTGCACTTTGAATTGCATTTGGATGGCAATGTTGGACTTGAATAAAAATATATTTATTTTTCAGAGAGAGGGAGAAAGAGGGAGGTAGAAGGAGAAGGAGAGACAAAGATAGAGAGTGTGCGGGTGCGGAGGAGAGAAAAAGACGGAGCGGAGGGGTATATGGAGAGAGAGAAGTATATAGAGAGGTATATGAGAGAGAGAATTAGCATGAGTTTAATGGAGATGTAAGAGAAAGAGAGAAAGAGAGAGAGTGAGAGAAAAAATGAGAGGGGAAAATATGGACTGAATGAGGAAAACAGGAGAAAGATTCGATTACGAAGAGACAGGGGGATTTAAAGAGAGAGATAGAGAGAGAAGGGAAATGGGAGAGTGACAGAGAAAAAGACAGTAAGAAAGAATGAGTGAGCGGCACAGAGTGAGAAAGTGAGAGGAAGACCAAGAAAAGATAAAGAAATAGCGAGTTAGAGCGAGAAAGAGTGAAGAATTGAAATAGAGAGAGAGAGAGACAGAGAGAGAGAGAGAGAGAGAGAGAGAGAGAGAGACGGAGGGAAACACTGAAACAATGTCTTTTACTGCGAAGTTAAGAAGAGAGAGAGAGGGAGAAAGAATGACACTCAGAGAAAAGAACTAAGACGGAACAGAGTGCAGGAAAGGCAGAGAACGAGCTTGAGAAATGGCTATAGCCACAATTTTGCCTACACATTATATACACATATCATCACGTCATCCTGTTCTTATATATACACATATATATAGTCACACATGCACATGGGGCTCCCAAGACTTTACTCGCTCGAAGACAGTTGAAACTTTCGCCCATTCACTCGCAGTTTTCAATGCTGGTGAATAGTGCGAGGCACGCGAATGGAATTTCCCGCAAACATTTAGTATTTTCACTTAATTGTATTCCTTTAGAATTTTCGGCTGGGCTCCTGCTGGGCGACAAGCGTCTGCCAGTTATGGCATTTATGACGCATACGCCGCGTTCGCCGCGCTGCACCTTGAAATTTCTGCTCTGCTGGCCTGCCCTGGCCTGGCCCTGGCCTGGCCCTGGAAACTTTTGGCCCTGCCCCAACAACCAGCTGCTCGTGCACAATTATGAAATGTGCTCTCCATCTTTTTTCTTGTGCTTTTTTGTGTGGCTCAGGCAAAACTTTTTTGCCACATGCCATAAAAATTGTTTGGCAGCAAGCAGAGAACAAGGGAGCGAGAGAGGTAGTTGGCTTGCTCTCTCGCTCTCTTTGTGTTGCAGTTGATGTGGGTCAGTTACGTGGCCACAGGGGCCACAGAAGTTTGGTCGGGGTCTAGCTGGCTCTGGAGAGTGCTTGGGCTTGGGCCTGGGCCTGGGCCTGGGCTGGGGAAATGCAATTCAAACCAAGGCTGAGCCGCAGAACTTTTCATTGAGTGTTTTCAATTTCGATGGTTTCGATTTCACACGCCTCGCATGCGAAACCCAATAGCCCGCAGCCAAACACGCATCAGCATAGTTCAGATCCAGCCACACGGGCACAATGCGCATTTCAATTGACTGGGCGGGGCATGCCCCATGTGGCAGTTGTTTGCGGTCGTCGCACAGTTGAAAACAAAAAATATTCGCGTTGAATTTAATTTTAGGCCTCGGCCTGTGGACAACAACGCCTAATGTGCGTATTTATAGGATACATAATGTATATATGAAGAGAGTGAGAGAGAGAGGAATATATATGTATATCTAGTCGGACAATGTGTTAATCTGGCTGTAGGCGTTTGCTTTTTGGCCACCAAACGCTTTTTTTTCGCAGTGATTTATAATGTCAGGCATATCGAGGCGTGTAAAGATCTCTTAGGCACTATGGAAACACTTTAGCCAAGGCTAAGAATTATGAATAATGCCTATTAATAAAGTGGGCTAAAGAACTCATTAGCGATCCAAGAATAGGCCACTAAGTGAGTGCAGGCGCTGTATTTATAAGACTAAATGTATTCAAAAATCACACAATATTTGATTATTTAATGAGCCACAAAGTTAATTAATTATTTTCCAATTGGAATATTCTGGCACGTGGAACATTTTCCAATTAGTTGTCGTCACCTAGGGCCATTGCAGGCTGCGGCAGGCAGACGGCACTGTGGTGTTGCACATTTGTGAGCTGGGCTGGAAATAGGTTGAGCCCGGGCACTCGTACAGGGCGCCATACCAAATGCTGCCGTACACATAACAATTGACGTATCTAAAATGGAGAATGGTCGATAGTTGGTTGATATCACAGTTAGTTCATCATACGCACTGTTTGCAGGTGGCTTCGAGCGTGTTGCCATAGGGATAGCGGCCAGCCCTTTGGACAGATCTGCAATAAGTATTCGCATCGCTGTACAATTCATCATCCATCAGGGGGCAGGAGACCTGGCCACCAGTCGATGCAGAGCCGCAAATGTTGGGATTGTCCCTGTTGCACACCAAGTAGGGGGCGCAGCTGCCTCTGATTACTGATGGCTGCTGCGTGCCCAGGCACAGGGCATATGTGTGAACGCCCATACAGGCAAAGACAAGGTCAGCACTGCAAATGCCACATTCATTGCACGACGCTAACGAGCTGTTACTCTGGCAAATGGCAGTCTGGGCCGTGCAGAAAGTACCCGACGGACAGCTATTCACTGGCTGAACTAGTATGTTATTTACGCAGAACATGAACTGTGTCTGCGACACACAGGCCGCATTGGATAATGCGGAGCACACATTGCATTCGGCCCGACAATCCAGGACACCCAAAGCCAGCAGCAGCAGCAGCAGCACCAACACGCGCAACATCTTCGAAGCTCAAACGCAACTGCAGCGTTGCAAGACAACGTCAGAGCATTTAAGAACTCGAGTTATCTTATCTTACAATCATAAAGGCATTAGAGTAGTCTTTTATTTTTTTCAAATCTGCAGTGCTTATAGCTTAGTTGCAAAAGATTAATTTAAATTGTATTAGAGCTGTTAATAAGAGTTGCCGCCTAAAAGTATGCAATGAAAATTTTACTCTGACAATGGCTCACGAGTGAATTTAATTTTTAATAAACGTACTGATATTCTTTTTTAATTGTACTTGATTAAAAATTCATTTTACTTGTTGACTGCATGTAAAATTTCATTAAAATATTTGCCTTTAATTGCAATGGAAATCATCGTTTGATTGCAGTAAGAGCTGGCAATAAAATCAGCCGCCTGAGAGTATGCAATGAAAATTTTACTCTACGTTTGCTTGCATTCTGCATTGAGTTATTATTACGTATACATAATTAAACATTGTAAAATGTGGAAGGTAAATATTTAAAGATTATAAAATCCACACGTTAGCCTACAAGTAGACTAAATAATAAAAAGTTAATGAGCGCAAAAATGGATTTCAATATAATGTATATTTAAGCCTTTTCAGAAACTGAAGCTAGCAATAGATAAAAGGCAAATAGACTAGACAGCTTTCGATTAGTTATATTATGTGTATAAATTCATGCATAAGAAAATGATTCTTACTCTCAAAGCGTTTAGTATTACGAATATCTCTGTATCTCTCTATATCTCTATCACAAATGAGCTAGCACTTATAACTATATAGGTAAATTCATTCTGTTGATATAGTAAAACTTGTTTTTTTTGGATTTTTGTAATTCAGTACATTTTATATTTATAGCATTTTATCGCAGTTTCAATGAAAACTTAAGTATAAGGCAGAAATTATGAGACATGTTACAAAATATAAATTCCCAATTTATATTTGTGTATGGATATTCCTAGAGGAGCTCAACTGTTCATCATCATCATCATCATCTTGCAGTTCATGATCATCTTTCGTGCGTGAGTGTCTATGGGTGTATGCGTGAGACAGAGACGGCGCATGTGTGAGCAAGAGGGATGCAATTTGATGGTTCCGTATGCGCGTTTCATAGTCATTTACAAAGTAACTTGAGTATTGAGCAGGCGACGCTGCAGGCCGGTGTCCACGTGTGTTTAATAAATATGAAAGAAAAGGCGTGACAAATGGGGCGCGTGGTGTGGCGTGGGGGAGGTGGGGCTGGTCGATTGCTGTTCCTATGTGGTTTCCTTAGTAGTGGCCGAGATGCGCATGCGCATTGTAGCCGTAAGCGGGCACAGCAGCGGCCAGAGAGCCACCATAAGCCACAGCTGGGGCTGCAGCCACATGGTGAGTGATGGCAGGAGCGTGGGCAACCAATGGGGCGGCATGGACAGTGGGTGCGCTCTTGTGAACGACTGCGTTGAAGCCATTGTGATCGTCGGCCGTGTACTCCACGGTGCGCACGGAACCATCAGGCTCCACCAGAGAGTACGAGCCCTTCACAACATCGCCGTCGCGCACCTCATGCTGCGACTTCACATCGCCGGTGTGCGTGTCGGCGACGCCATAGTTGTAGTGATACTTGGGATAGGCCTGCCAAGAGAGTTGCCAGAGCATGAATATGGGTGCTCTCGCCCAGCTAATGCAGAGCACTTACATGATAGTCGATGCCCTCGTCAGGGTGTCCGTGCGAGGCGTAGGCCAGAGCAGGACCGGCGGCATAGAGACCATGACCGCCATGCAGGACACCGGCGGAGGCAGCGCTGACGACAGCCAAGCAGATCAAAGACTGTCACATACAAATAGAGTACAATTATAATAATATTGACATATCGACAGACACTGGGCACAATACTGCGGGCGGGCACTGTGCCCGCACTCGTCCTCGCACTCACTTTGATAAAAGCCATTTTAAGGATATGAAAGTCCGAGTGGTTTGTTGCGTGTATGCGAGACGTTGAGCTGGATTCAACTGATGACTAGAACCAAGACGAAAGCCGCTTTTATAATACACCAGACAACGCCCGAGCGATCGAGCCAAACGACACACGAGCAACGTCAGGCCGAACGAGTTAACGAGCGAGCGAGCGAGTGAGCAAACGGTCAACAGCAGCAGCGACGACGGCGGCGACGTTGGCAGCAACAATTGCTATTTGCAAGTGAAGCTTAAGAAGTTGATATAGCGGCAACAGCAACAACAACAACAACAACAACAACTGTGATGACGATAGCGACGTCAACGCCGACGTTTGTCTGTCTAGCAATTATTTTATGCTCTTTTTGAAAACGAGAGTGAAGTTCTGTCAGCGCTTTGAGTTAAGTAACGGGTGTATGCATTGTTGTTGTTGTTGTTGTTGTTGCTGTTGCTGTTACTGTTGTTGTTGCCAACGTAGTTGTTGTTGTTGCTGTTACTATTGCTGTTGCCAACGTAGTTGTTGCTGTTGCCACCAAAGTTGTTGCTGTTGTTGTTGTTGCTGTTACTGTTGCTACTGCTGTTGCTGTTATAGTTGATGCTGGCTGGTGTTGTTGTTGTTGCTGTTACGATTGTTGTTGCTGTTGCTGTTGCCAACGTAGTTGTTGCTGTTGCCACCAAAGTTGTTGCTGTTGTTATTGTTGCTGTTGCTACTGCTGTTGCTGTTATGGTTCACGCTGGTATGGTTGTTGTTGCTGTTACGATTGTTGTTGTTGCTGCTGTTGCCACCGTAGTTGTTGCTATTGCTGTTGCTGCTGTTGCTGTTGCTGTTATTGTTGCTACTGGTATTGCTAATGCTGTTGCTGTTATAGTTGATGCCGGTGTTGTTGTTGTTGCTGTTACGATTGTTGTTGCTGTTGCTGTTGATGCTACTATTGTTGTTGTTGTTGCTGTTGCCACCGTAGTTGTTGCTGTTGCTGTTACTGTTGCTATTGCTGTTGCTGTTGTTGTTACTGTTTCTACAGCTGTTGCTATTGCTGTTGTTGTCGCTGTTGCTGTAGTTGTAGTTGATACTGTTGCTGTTATTAGTGCTATAGCTGTTGTTGTTGTTGCTGTAGCTGTAGCTTATGCTGATGCTGTTGATACTCCAGCTGCAACTGTTGTGGTTGTTCTTGTTGTTGCTGTTGCTGCTGCTGTTATTGTGGTCTTATCTTTGCTTTGCTCTGCATTGCACATTAATAAATATTAGTCAGTTAATGTGCAAGATATTCGACTAAAACTTCACTGTATTATATATTTTTTATTTAAACATAAAATATGAAATATATATAATTATTATTTACAAGAAATATTTGTGACATAACTTATATTTATTTATATGTTGATCAATTAAACTAAATTTTCAAAATTATATTATATATATGTACATATATAAAATAATATATATAGGGATTATTTTCACTTTGTTTTCATCATAAATGTTAAATGGCTTAACATATGCCATTTTCCAATAGTTTAGCTGCCTTAGCACTAAGTTGTAGCAATAAAATATCGGCTGAATACTTTTGGCATACACTGTACACACATAAAACTATCTAAAAACACTTTTATATACACATGTTGCCGGGAATGGCAATACTTCATATTAGAAATATATATATGAATAAGAAACCAATCCGGATTTTGGAGTAACTATAAGAAATTACTATGCATGCATTGCGTATATCATAAAAATATCCATATATAACACCTTAATATACATGTAGATGGCTTTACAGCCACTGTGGCAGCTGTTGCAGCCGGACAGTGTGACGACTGGACTGGACGGCCTGACAACATCGAGCGACCCAACAATGACAATTACAAATTTTGCGCAAACAACGTGTTTATTCTTGCTGCCGTCGCTCCAATTGGTATTCGAGTTTAGCCATATTGTTCGTTTCCTTTTCACTTAATTATGCAGGCCGTGCAGTAATTGCTTGCGTCTCGCTTCGCATTAGATCCGGTCTATGCGAAATGCATAAAGTTAGACGCTGAGAACGAACGAGCCCCACAGCTGCAACCGGATTCGTGGAAAAGACCTACCTGAAAGCGAATCGACTCCCTCGTGATCTGGTCTAAGACAGATGCTGGATGCTGTCTACCGTCTGCCTTTGGGTGTTGGTTGTAAACACTTGAAGCTTGGCCATATGCACATTTCTAGCTTCTCTAACAATTGTTGACTTAGTTGCGATTGCGATTGCGTGGCAAGCTAGGCTCTTCGTCATCTCCACAAAAGCTCCAGCAGAGCTCCAAGTTGATGCCGAGTGCACACAAAGCAAACACAGAGCGTTGCCTCTGACTCGTTCTCTCGGCGAGCATGGAAATGGTTTATGGCCCTCTCAGATCACTCAGGTAGTCTAAGCAGGCGAGCTATGAATTAAAGCAATGAGGAATATAAATTATAATGGGTAACTTATTGGAGCATTAAAAATGTTATTTCATTTTATTTTATTTCTTTCATTTAACAATTTAACAATTGTTCCTCGTTTTATTTCCAATTAGTTGCTGGGAATTTTTAAATTGATTATTTGGTCTACTACGCAGTGACCTTGAGCTGCGGCTGCGAATGGAAGTGAAACGATTTGGACGAATTGAAATGCCACAGAGATTGACCACAGTGCCGACAAGATTAAAGCTTAATCGTTTTCAGAGGTGTTTTACGGGTCAATAACAAAACGCCTTCTGGGTGTGTTAGTACGTAGATATATCCGTATCGAATTCATTTATACATAATTGTATCGACTCATTGTTCTGGTTGTTGTTGTTGTTGTTGTTGTTGATGTGAAAATGAAAGTGAAAATGTAAATGAATCTGAATCTGAGCAGGCAAATGTATATTTGCTGTGTCTCAATTGTTGGGTTTTTGTGGCATGCCGCTTCTTATGATCTGTGACACCAGTGCACCACTGCACCACTGCACTACTGCACCACTGTTGACGTTCTCGTTTCGTTAACCACAGCAACAATTGTTGGCAATCGCTTACACAACTGACGTGTGGCTGCGGCTGCAGCCATAATCACAGATTGA